TGCGATATTTAAAATATCGATATATAAACCCATAATTATCGATCACGATAAATATCGTAATTTTAATATCGATAAAAATCGATATAAGTTCGTATATCGATAAAAAAAAAACCATGTTACATATCAAATTAGATGTTTTCCGTGGCGTAGAGTGGATAAACTAAAGGTGAATTCAATTGACGTAAGATTAACCTAGTCATTACCGAAGCACGTAATGACAGTAATGAAAAAAAAAACCACCAACATAGTTAATCTGATAAATTCCATTAAAAACCCATCACTGAAGTACACATTTGAAATATTAGTTATCATATTATTAAGATTATAATGTATGGATTATGACAATCATATTGAATGTATTATATATCTTTAATTTCGAACTCTTCTTTCCAGAGTAGACATACTCTACAGAATTAACTATTCGGATTTTTGAGAGGAAATGGTTTTCCTCGATAATTAAAATTACAACCAGGCACGAAACTAACAAACAATTCAAATAATTACCTAAGTGATAGTTAATATTTATATTAATTATGAATTGTATTTTTGAATAACTTGTTGAAAGTTAATATTTTTATTATTAATGAAAATCTATTAAAACTAAAAGATTTAGGTACCTACTGAAAAAACTAATAAATTATATTGTACTTCACATTCATTAAATTTAGTTTGTATCCTTATTTATAATAAGTAATAGGCAACACATAAAATTACAACATATTTTATAATGGATTGAAGTAAAATTATTTATACTTTCATTTATTAACATTATCTTAAAAACAATTATAAGATTGATTGTCAACATTGTACCAGTTACTACTTACTAGTAACCAGTTTTCATAATCAAAGCCCAATAGAAGAAGTTGTTTATATGTAGTGGTCCATGAAAAGGGAACATTAAAATATTTTAATACCAGGAAGGTATTAAAATAATTTATGTAACCCAAATTAGATACATATAAAAATTATAAAAAACAACAAATGTATTAAATGTATTTTAAGCAACATAAATAACAGTAAGATTAGTAGGAAATGTATAATATTATACTTTAATAATCGCTCTTTAACAAAGTAACAAAATAGAAAACCAAAAATAAAAATAAAATAAACTTTTGATGACTCAACAGTCAACAGTAGTAACTTCTAATATGTATGAGCTATTGAGCTCATAAAAACAAATAAATATATAGTTAATATAATAATGAAAAACTTTTTTTTTTAATCTAACCAACTACGATTTATAGGGGTGTTGAAATTTCAAACCAGTCTTGTTCACTTAATGAACCCATAAAAACAATTTTCGACAGCCTTTTACTCGTTAATCTGTTTCGAGTTTGTGATAGAGTATAACCAGTTTTGGAAAAAAGTCGCTCTGAAGGAACAGATGTAGCAATTATACTAAGTTTTTCTCTTGCAATGAAGTACAGATTTGGGTACATGGTCTTCATTACTTCCCAAGCATATAGTGGATCTGTTTTAATGTCTACAACAGGCTTGGCTAAATAGTCATATAGCTAAAAATATTATACAAAATATAAAACACCAAATATAAATAATTAAGTTTGATAGTATGATATCTAACCTCTTGATACATCGGTGTTGTTCTCCGGTGAATTTGCACATTTGCCACAGCTTCATGATATGACCATAAATCAAACGATGGTGGTACTGGAGGTAATTCAGAAGTAATGGATGAACTCTGAGTCGGTGCTGGAGGTTCATTCAAATTATGGTTTTGAGAGTTTTCTTTTGAAATTAATATATTTTTAATTTTTTCAGTAGCTGTATGGCATCGTGTTGGGTCTTTAAAATGAAGATTTTTGAACCTGAAATAATAATAAAATTATGTTAGCATATAAACTTCAAATTCACCAATACAATTAATTGTTACCTTGGGTCTAATAGAGTACTTAATGGAAAGTTATAAAATATTTCCAAATCTTTAAAACGTTTGTTCATTTCATATAATATATTTCTTTTGAATTCAACTCCAATATCAGTTACTGGGACACTATTATTAATTGCTGAAGTTACACAATTTACCAATGGTAAAATGCTACTCATTATAGTAAATTTATCGCCTGATACTTTATTGGTTAGATCTTCTAATGGTTGCAATAGTGTCTTAATTTCTCTTATTGTATTTAGTTCATGTGCAGTAACAAAGTCAGGAGCTGTTGACTTGTCTAAGATTATAACTGATATAATTCTGAAAATAAGTAAGAACCTTTCTAGCATATAGTATAACGAGTTCCAACGAGTTTTTACGTCTAGTATTAATTTCAGTATTTTGCCTTCAGCTAAACCTAGAATTGAATGTGTATTATTGAAATTATTGTACTATACCAAAAAATAATATTATTTTGACTAATCAAATTACCAACCTTGATCTTTTTGCAATTTTCGAAGTTCATCGCTTAAATTCACACTATTTTTAATATATTTTACAATATTTCTGATCTTCACAATTATTTCGTTTAATGTGGTACATTTTTCGATTGAGTTGGTCACAACCAAATTAATTGTGTGAGCGAAATTGTGAAATTGTGTGTTTATCTACACCAAATGTTTCACATGCCGCCTTTTTTATATTTGATCCTATAGGTAAATAAAATGTAAATTTTAAAACTATATTACAAAAAAATATGTCTAATTTAGTATAAAAATACCGTTATCTGTTACAATGGCAATGACTTGATCGACATTTATTCCCCACTGTGATAATATAGTACAAAACACTTCACTTATGTATTCTGCCGTATGCCTTTCATATAGCTCTACTACACCTAATGTACCTATATAAAACAATCCAAAAATATCAGATGATAAATTAAATGCTTATTACATGTTTATTGCAATTTTAAATTATTTAATTACCAGAAACATATGTAGTTTTTTCGAGAAAGTGGATTGTGACTCCTAGATAACTTTTCTTTTGAATGTCAGACCAGATATCAGTTGTAAGACACAAATTATTTTTTACACTCAATTTTTCTTTAAATTTGTTGGACAAATATTCATATTTTAAATCAAGTTTATTCCTTATGGTGTTTCTTGCAGGCATTACATAAAGAGGGCAAGCTACTTTAAGAAATTTTTTAAAGCCATCTCCGTCTACAGTTGAGAATGGAATGCTATCTTTACAGATATCATATAATAATGCATCGGTAATTTCATTGGTTTTTGCTCCATTTGCTGTAATATATCAAAAGAAATACAAAATATATTACCTATGTCATTAAATTTAAATATAATTAGTTTGATTTTTGATAAACCATCTAGATGTAATACCTAATTAGAATTATAATAAATATATTTTTCCAATTTTAATTAAATTAACAGTTACCTTTCATTGACGAAATATGCTTAAAACTGTGTTTAATAGACGTTTGAAAAGTTTTATGTTGATGTTGCAGAGGAGAAACAGAATTGTGTAAGACAGAACTATTGTCACTAATGTCACTAGTGATAGAATCATTAAAATCACTGCTGCTAGAATTAATTAAAGTTGATTCTGTACTGCCGAAACTTAATACCTTAAAAAAAAATTTGTTTAAAACTAAACATATAAAATATTTAATTTACTAGAAAACTTACTTCACTCCTATGAACAGGATCATCCACTTCATCACTAGAATTAATGTTAACTGCTTTTGGTAGGCAGTGAACATTTTTAAGATGTGAATGTAAGTTGGAAGTATTTCCCACAGTCGGGCATAATTTGTCACATATTTTGCATTTTGCTGACAGTTTATTCACCTTGTCAAAACGCTGCTATACTTTACTAATTTTGCCCATTTTACATATAACTAAAAATGACTACACATAAAAAAATCAATAATTACAAATATAACGGCAGCGGGCGGACTATGATAACCAATTGTAATATTATAAAACAAAATACCTGTATGGCTGTATCGGCTTTATATATGAATAATGAATAGAACCAACGAGTACTGAGTAACGGCCAACTATGCTATATGGTCCACAAGCAACGGAAAATGGCAAATAGTACTAAAAACGGCAAATACGCGATAACCACGTGGCCGTATATCGTATATGGCGGCTATACGCGATACGCCTACATATACAGGACTAAAGGAGTACTACCACGGATATGTCGACACTACGATCCACTAAAGTACTGAACGTTGAACGCAAAACGGAGGACTTTTGGAACTACGGAGGTCGGAGAGAAAAGTCAAAAATCAAACAAACAGGCTACGGACACCTGACTTACGGTACACTCAGACGTATATAGTATTATAATTTATAGTCACGTAGACGTAGGTGAACCACAAACGGCATAAAACAGTAAAACGACAGACGCGAGACGCAAGTTGCTAATAGTGAGTAGTGAGAACCGAGTAGAGACAGTAGAGACGGAGTAAAGCGAGTAGACGTCGAGTAGTGTCTGAGTATATAAAAAGGATAGTACAATAATAGTACAATGATACGAAAAAAGTATTTAAAACACGATTTACGATATAGCCGATATATCGATATTTTTAACTTATCGATATATCGTTGACATCCCTGGGAATCGCCGCCGCCGCGAAGAAATCGGGTCGTGACCGTGAAATTGCTGCCGTCATAGTGTACGCGCCGCCGCTGACGTAAACAAACAAAACGTAAATACGTGATATTATCGTGTATAATAATACACAGGCAAATCGTATACTACGAATATTACGTGTATTACCATAATCACCAGTATTCACGTAAAAACAGAATAATTTATCGAAACCAATAATAGTTATTGGTCCCTCGCCAGCTGTTTCCGGGTGTATAACTTCGGATCCGAACATTGCAGTAGAAAAGGATAGTCGTCGTTTATAGACTGCGTGCGGTGGTACTACTAGCGCTCTGGGGAGACAACTATCATACTAGTGCAGGGGTAATAACTACTAAGTACTAACTAGTAACTACCATTGACAAGGATACTAACTACTAGTAAGTAGTAGTGTTGAATAATTTATTGATTATTATTATAAATTATAATGAGTGGTACTACAAAGTCAAAAAATAGTTGCTGTGTAGTAAATTGCAGTAATTCATATAAAAATACTAATAATATTACATTTTATCGACTTCCAAATCGTGATTACGAGAAAGAGACAAAAGAAAAGTGGATAAAAGCAATTAATAGAATCATGTAAGTTAATTATTTTTATTTTTCGTTCATAATAATCAATTAGATGAGTTTATGCCCTACATTATAAAGAAAAAAATGCTCAAATTAAATAGTTATTATTATTCTGATTTGTTAATATTTTTTTGTTGTAATTTAGAGAAAATAGAAAACCTTGGCGTCCTAGTGTTCATAGTGTTGTTTGTAGTGCCCATTTTATTAATAATAATAGGTCATAATTAAGTTTTATTAAATATAATATAAATAATTTATTAAAAGTGATTAAACATTCTTAATAATTCCAATATGTGAGACATAGAAAAAATAGCACTTCTTTTCATGAGTATTAATGTCTTTTTTATTTCTTTATCTTATATTTCATTTGTATTGATATTATTAAGATTGTTTGATAATTTAAATCAAAATTTTAAATTATTTTGCTATTTAAATAATAGGTCTCTTGATCCCAGAAGCCCATCGTATATACCTTCAATATTTCCTGAAGTATACAAAAAAAAAAACCATTAATGTACTACAAAATATTGCCAGATATGAGCGCTCCATCAACCGTCAAAATCAAACCATGGAATTTCAAGAAATAAATAATCAAATAATACCTTCTACTAGTTCTACAGAACTAGATTTAAATAATATAACATCTATTAATATTAGTACTCAAGTAGCTTTTGAGGTGCCCGAGGAAAATTTTATTTTTTATTGTGTTTATGAAGGTAATAATAATGTAGGTACTCAAGCATCAGTAAATTTAAATTTAAATTTTACTAAACCGAAAAGTGCAGAAAAATCTTGTGGAGTAGATTCTTCAAATACAAGTTCTTGTTTGTCTTGCCTATCATTTCATGGATATAATTCTATACAGTCTGAAAATGCATTAAAAGATATAACAGGTGTAACTTTCAAAATATTTAATTTTCTTTTGTCGTTATTACCACAAACAAATCGTACCATAATTAGTACAGAAAATACCCTATTAATTATGTTGATGAAAGTTAAACTAGGTCTAACATATTCAGCTTTAGTACATTTTTTTGAGTCCATAGAACTACCATCAGTAGAGTATTTTCTGAATGTTTACTTATTTTAAGTCATAAAACAAATAATTTAATTTTCTGGCCAAGTAAAACAACTATTGTAGACACATTACCAGAGATTTTTAAAAAACATTACCCTCATTGTAGGTGTATCATTGATTGCACGGAAATAAGAGTTGAGCAACCTCAAACAGTTCAACAAAGAGTTTGCTTGTATTCCCGATACAAAGGTGGTTATACAATTAAAGTATTAGTTGCAATTACACCAAATGGTATGGTTACTTTTCTATCTAAAGCATACGGAGGTAGGTCTAGTGATAGTTTTATCACCAATGATTCCGGATTTTTAAATAAGCTTGAACCTGGAGACCAAGTACTGGCCGATAAAGGTTTTCCTGGAATACAACCAGGTGTTGAAGGTCAAAATAGTATACTAGTTATACCCCCAATGCTTCATAATGGTAGATTTTCTGAAGAAGAAGTAATAAAAACATTTAATGTTGCTAGTGTCAGAATACACATCGAACGATTTTTTGCAAGATTAAAATCTTTTAATGTTTTGAATAAAATAACAACTGATCTTTTACAATATATTGATAATTTATTACTCATTTGTTGTGTATTGGTAAATTTAAGTTCACCAATTATAAAACAGTAGAATTAGTTTTGATAAAATATTTTAAACATAAGAATATGTATTATATATTATGCTAATTATTATTACTTAACAAATTACTTATTATTAACTAAATATTATAATGTATTTGATTGGTTACATAAATTTGGTAAATAAAAAGAAAAGTAAAATTTATCCAATATTGGAATAATGTTTTCTAAAAAGGTTAAATCTTTTTTAATTATTAATGACAAAGGCTTAATTTCATTAAAGATAAATAAGTGGCAATCATTTAAACCTGTACAATACAGTAACATTTGTATTTGTGTATAATATATATGACTATATTTTAACCCAACTTCACCATTTTTAACTTCAATATAGCTTAAGTTTGATTTTCCTGTTAATTGGTCAATTATAGATTTTTGTTTGCATGAGCTGGGACATTTAATTTCTAAAACTGAAGAAATTTTTCCATTTTTTAATATCAAACCATCAGAACTGGCACTAATCCATGGTCTACAAATATGAAAAAACAACCCACTTTTAACTACATCAATGTTGTACATATCACAGAACTTATTAAATGCCTTGTCTTCAGTTTGTAATCCATATTGTATATTACTGGCTCCTTTTCCTACAATTACAGTTTCATTTAATAAAGATATTGCTAATTTATTTTGACATTCTTCAGACTTATTCCTTAGTGTTTTTATTTTGTGTGCTTTTAAACTTGCTGATATGCGCATCTTTCGGTTTTGTTTCCAAGATAAATTAAGGGACTGATCGAGTGTTTGGTTAAAAATTGATTTTATCATTGTTTCATTAACATAAATATTCTCATAGAAGTAAGTATGTAGAGCATTGTCTACCAACTTCAGAACGTTGTTTTGAACACAAATTATAACTTAAACTACATGGCAATGAAAGTATATTGTGGTTTTGAATGAAATCATTATGGCTCAGAATAGGAGCGTTATTATTCAATTGTTTTTGAGGGAAAAGATCTGATATTTTTTTTGCCTTTTTTATATAAACTTTCACAATACTTTGCGGGTCTTCCCCATTGCTGTGGCTCGTCAGTTTTTGAAGTTCCTTCTTCGGAATTAACATATATAATAAGGGCAGCTATGTGTTTACATTTAGATCCAGCCCCAGCTGGACATTGATACACAGCATTCTTTATGGTTCTAGTACTATCCAACTATTAAAAAACAAGTGAATTTGTTTTATTGTGAAGTGCTTTTATTTGAGAAAACAGTTATTGTAGAAAATAATACACACATTATGTACCAACATAATATGTGTGTTATGTATGAATAAACATTATAAATATACATTTTACCTCGAGCTGTACTTTATATGGGTCTAAAGAAACACTTGTCTGCCTGACAACCAAACCAGTTATTACACAAAATCCTTCAATTGGTCTAAACTCCTGTACATTCAGGACATGATTGCTTTCATACAACTTTAAACCTTTATTATTAGAGAATTCAAAATGTGAATTTATGCTTTGAAAGCCATACTTTATTATTAAATTACTCATAATTTAATTTAATTTTTTTGAAAATAATTAATTCAGAACTTTTGAAGTTTGAACTTTCCATTATCTAATGGAATATCTTGGAAAATGGAGTATCATTATCTAATTTTAATTTTACAAGAAAACAATTGTTTAGGTAATCACCTAGCTAAGAACCGAATTAAATACACAGATTAGGCAGATGATCAAAAACATTTTAATATTAATTCAACCATTTAGTAATTATAAAATGTGACTATTTTTAAATAAATGTATATTAATCGACAGTTAAAAAAAACAATTATTTACAGTTTTTCACGCGTTTTCCCATATAACGTAATAAAAAAACTTGAATTTGATCCCCTGCACTAGTACAAGAGTTTACCACTAGACCACGTTGTATTCCATCTCGCGCACGCAGTCTATAGAGGAGTACGCGATCAATCAACACACCAATTTCCGGAACATTTCAACATCGAACACAATCATCTCCACAATGGACAGGATGTTAGTAATTATACATCGATGCTGTGTTAAAATATTTTTTTTTCTATATATAGCATAATACTATAAATTGTTTTACTATAATTATTATAATTACTATTATACTAATTTTGTCTGTCTTGCTTTGAATGTGACTACTTGTAACTGCTATTCTATTGCATATTAGTAAAAAAAAAAGGGAGGTTAATGAATAATTCTGAGGACAAAAATAATTCATTAGAGGAACATAACGTTTCAACTACTGATAGTCTTCAGCCCCCTATTCCAACTTCACGAACTAGTTTAACTGTTAGGTATTCAAATCCCCAGGACATTACTTCTGAGAGGTCGTTTATATTACGGTAGATCATTTGCTTGTTAGGGAAACAGATTTATCGATAGCCACAAATAATTTATTAGTTAACGTATCTAATGAACTACAAAAAGTAGATAAGAGTATAATCAACGTCGTCACAAAGACAACCATTTCGAACACAGAACATTCCGAACATACAGAAAATCCGGCACAAACAGAAAATTCAGAACAAATAAAGTATTACGAAGACACAACAAATTCTGCACTACAAGAACTAGAGGAGAGTTACTCAAAAAATCGAATTGATTGTACTGAAGATCTAATTAAACTCGATCAATCGAACATGGCAAACGAACCGGGAAACCGTACAAAACGCTAATGCGGGAACTTTGACTATCACAGAAGATCAACTGTCACAGAACATTAACCAAAAAGTACAAGAGGCACTCAGGATACGAAATGTCCCTCAGACAGTAGAGGTGATGTCCAGCAACCAGATAGGACTATGTTGTATATGCGTGTGTGTGTGTGTATGTGGGTATGTGGTATATTGTGTGTACTATGTATGTACTATGCATGTACTATGTATGTATATATAGATAGTATGTACTGGAGGCTCGCATATACACACAAATGTGTTGACTCAGGGCAAAAGGAGTGTGTGACCATCTCGGTTCCCACGATGGTCTACGTGACCAAAAGGGCTGGGTCAGCACATACCTAAGACCCCCGGACGGACCGTTGCGACGGGCCCGGTCGGGAGTGGCAGTCGCGTAAAGTCGAAAGAGTGAGCAACACCCTCGTCATAGCATCTTTTAAATCTTATAACAGAGCATCATTTAGTTTTTTAATCAGAACCTCTTATATTAGTGTGAAATCAGTATTCAATATAATCTTTTCAATAGTGTTTAATGTAGTAAATTAGTAATTCTATTTCTACTAAATCTTTGTGTTTTTCATTTGACACCAACTTCTAATATTTGAATGCCATACGACGGTGGACTACACTTCAACTACAAGACGCAATCAGGCTATTGCCAAAATTACTTGATGGTGAGAACACTGAGCAATGGAAGTATTCCTGGACAAATGTGACTTTGCTGTATCTTGTACGGTGCCTACAGCTATTCCACGGTTGGTACAAGCAATTCAAACCAGATTAGCGGGAAAGGCCCGACAGGTAGTAAAATATCAGAACTTTGAGTCTTGGGAAGAATTAAGGGATCTTCTAAAATAAAATTTAGAACCCCAAAGAACTACCCAACACTTGTATCAGTCTTTATATGCTACAAAACAAAAAACAGGAATGGATATATTTACTTATTAAAAGGAAGTAGAGGCTCTTCAAAATACAATTATTGAACAAGAAACCATGGGATGTACAATCGAGGTAGCACAAGCACTCGAGAGAACATTAAAAAGACAAGCCTTACAGGTATTTATTGAAGGTTTAGGAGATTTAAAAAATTATATAAAAGCCAGACATCCAGATTCTCTTTTTAACGCCATTCAAGCGGCTCGGGAAGAAGAAATAGTAAAGAAATCATCAGAGGAATCCAAAAAATTATATAAGCCAGCAGAAACCTCAAAAACCCAACCAGGAGTATGTAATGTTTGCAAAAATCCTGGGCATTGGGCACGAGATTGTCGATATGCAAAAGCAGACAACAAGTAAACCAAACCGAATACTACTCCAGCACCAGTCGCTACAGTTAGCACGGTGACCTGCCAGTATTGTAAGAAGCCCGGGCATACGAAAGTGGTGTGCCGAAAATTGAAGTATGTACAATCAAAAAGAAATGATGCTGACAATAAACAGGTGGAAAACTCCCAACAACAGGTCCCTTCTGGCGGAGGGTGGGGGACATCAAAATAGCCGCGATATATTTTCTAGAGGATACCCAATAATTTCTAAATTGACAGATCATCACTTAACATGCAGAACATTTCAGACCATCAATCCGAACGTAAAATTCCTAGTCGATTCCTGGAGTGATTTAAATTTGATCAAAATTAGTACACTCAGAGGCGAAGTGATAGTATATGAAGAAATCATCTATCATTTAAGGGACATTAGCGATCAGCTAGTGAAGACCATGGGGTATACTTATCACCAAGTAAAGATGCATCCAGATCATAAGGAAAGAACAGCATTTTCCACCGAGCGAGGACACTTTGAATTCCAACGTGTTCCATTCGGATTAAAACGAGCACCCGCCACATTCCAGAGACTGATGAATACAGTTTTAACAGGGTTAAATGGATTAAAAACCTTTGTATATCTAGACGATATCATAATATACGCTCGAGATATTCCAGATCATTCGAAGGAACTTCAAGAAATGTTTGAAAGATTAAGGCAGTTCAACCTGAAACTTCAACCAACAAAATGTGAATTTATGAGGAAAGAAGTGAATTACTTAGGACATGTAATTACGGATCAGGGAGTGAGTCTAGACTCACAGGAAGTTCAATGTGTAATGGATTACCCAATCCCAAAGAACAGCAAGGATATAAAATCCTTCCTTGGCTTATCAGGATATTACAGAAGATTCATACCTGATTACGGGAAAATTGCGAAACCACTCACTTCGTTATTGAAAAAAGACGTTGAATTTAAGTGGGCCGCTTTCTGTCAAAAAACTTTTGAAGATTTAAAAAATGTCCTCACTAATGAACCTCGGTTGTAATACCCTGATTTTAACCTCACATGTGACGTTAGTAATTACACTATAGGATGTGTGTTATCACAAGGCCCAATTTTAAAAGATCTCCCAATCGCATATCCCTCACAAACATTAAATAAGACAGAGCAAAATTATAGCACAACAGAAAAGGAAGTGTGCACCATAATCTGGGGAGTTAAACAATTTCGACCCTATTTACTGGGCCAGGAGTTCAACATTATCACTGATCACCGAGCATTAACTTGGCTTTTCAATGTCAAGAATCCTGGGTCACGATTAACCCGATAGAGGCTTAAGCTAGAAGAATACCAGTATCAGATTCAATATAAGCCAGGATGGAACAATACAAATGCCGATGCATTGAGCAGAACCAGAGTCACAACTAGAGCATAAACATTGAAAAATGAACAAATCCCAGAATCTTCATAGAATACATAATCTACAGAAATTCCGAAACCTACAAATACTACAGAATCCACAGAGAGTCAAAAATCTACAGACACTACAGAATCTTCAGACACTTTAGAATCATCAAATAAAACAGAATCGTATCAGATATTTTTAAATTCAGATGACTCACCTACGTCTAATGTTACTGAGATAGCAGTCGACATCTTTAGTACATCATCCGACACCTCTCTGGCACACTATGTTTCCGCAGATCTCAAAATGTCTAGAGACATAGCCCTCTAATTTAGACGAAGATTTGGACAAATACAACAACTACGCCAACAATAC